TTCCAGCAACCGTTCTTCATATGTTTTATCCTCCAGTCCCCTGATCATCTTTGTTGCTCTTCTCTACACTTTTTCTAGAGTCTCAACATCTTTTTTTACATTGTGACGACCAAAACTGACATTGTGGTGATCAAAAACGTACCTTCTGGATTCGTCTAGTTGGATATTCCCTCAACTGCTTCTAAACTTGTTTTGGGGCTGATGCCTGAAATAAGCAGGTAACATTGCAGATGAGGAGTCTGTCTGTCTTCTTGTGAATCATCAGCTGTACATTTGTCCAATGAGAGACAAATCATATCAACTGGAAAAGGAATCCAGCTTCTAGATGAATTCAAGCTTCCCAACGCTTTGTGTGTGTTAATGTTAAACATTTACTGTTTCAGACTAGTCCTTAGAGGTTTACATTTGGCTGTAATGAAGGTGTGAGTCATTTTTAAAAAAATAAAAATAAAGCCAGCTCCCTCCCTCTTCTCCTGCACCCCCTTCTCTCGCGCAAACACATATATCAGGAGCTCCTCGAAATGGTGTCCTTTCTGGATGGTAAACCTCTGTCCCGTTTTTTTCTTCTCAAAGGCATCCTTAATAAGAGTATGCATGGTATTCTTAAACTGTTGGCTGGTTTATCATCATCATTTATGTCAGGGGTGCCAAACTCACGGCTCAGGGGCCAGTGGTGGGATTCAAAAAAAAATTACTACCAGTTCTGTGAGCATGGCTAGGTGGGTGTGGCAGAGGAAGGATACTGCAAAATCCCCATTCCCTCCCCACCCCACTAACCTGCTTTCCAGCTCCGTTCTCCTGTGCAGGGCAACAAAAAAAGATCCAGCCAATCAGCCGGGACTCAGGAGGCAGAGAATATATGGGGGCGGGGCCAGTCAGAGGCGGGATTTGCTGGTTCTCCAAACTACTCAAAATTTCCACTACCGGTTCTCCAGAACTGGTCAGAACCTACTAAATACCACTTCTGCTGGGGGCCGGATCTGGCCCATGGGGCTGCCCTGGAAACACTGAAGGACCGCAGTGTCTGCAGTGCCTCTGCCAGCAAAAACTGCTTGGGAGGATCCACGGGACGCTGTCCTGAGCTCCATTTTCCTTGGCAGAGGGTTGCAGGAGGCGTCCCAGCCGAAAACGTGTCAGCCTTCCAGAAAAACCAAACGGTGCAGTGTCGGGGTTTTAGATTCAATGTGGGAGGGTGAAGGATGTGTGTGTTTAGTTTCATGGTCATGATGTGCACTGAAGATGGTGTTTGATTTCGTTGTACGAGGTACAGTGACAATAAAGTAAAGTAAACTCCAACACCAAAACTCTGAGGCAGGCATTTTCTCAAAGTTCCATTTTATTAGGGTAGTCATAATGGCACATCTGGGAAACCCCAAATCTGAGAGTTCCAGGTTTCCTCACCGTAATTCAAAACACAAACACAAATCCACCCCCTGCGCCCATCAGTCCATCCCGCTAATATGGCTTCCAAAGCTGACGAAACGGAGCTCGGGAGTCTGTTTTCAGTGGCAGAACGCTCGGGCCTCCACAGGCCCCCCCACAACACAAATGACGTTGAGCTGGCCACGCCCACCCTGGCCCTCCGAGGTCAAACACCACCCTGATGCGGCCCCCCCAATGAAATTGAGTTTGACACCCCTGATCTATGGGAACCTTTCTGGACTGGGAAGTTAACAGGATCTCTTGGTGAGCGTTCCACGGACCATGATCTTCAGAAGCCTTCAGAACCTGGCACTGCAACAGGGAGAACTTGAATTTTGAATTTAAACAATAGATTGTAGCAATTTGATATATATATTTTTTCAATGAATGGAAGGAACAGGAGATATATTGAACTACATCATGAAACATGTCATGTTAGACCGTCCGTCCTGTGGAAGAGAGCCAAAAAAGGAGGCTAAGGCATTTCTACTGTTTTTAACTGCAGTCTTTGGAAATGGAACATTCTGCATCATATTTTCTAAAATGTTTTCGAATCTATTCCCTCACCGCCATATATCTATAGACAATAAATACTTGGTCACACATCCATGTTTTAATATTTAAAGTCTTAAAATATGACTTCCTGGCCTAACTGTTGAACAGCAGGTAGTTTAAGCAACTGGAGTCATGTATGGATGACTTAGACTTTAGATGGGTGCTTCACAAAAGAAAACCAAAATAAGCCTAATAATAATAATAACTTGCTGTGTGATAAAAACAACTGAACTCAATCTAAACATCTGGCTGACTGCAGAACCAATGCAATTGGTAGATAAAATTGTCAAACCCAGTCGAAACATCTGACTGGTTGTGTGACCAATCATGATTATAATAATAGTAACAATAGTGGTGGTGCCTTGGGTTCAGTTCCAAAACATCTGGAACATCACTTGAACACCATCAACATTGACAAAATCATCTGTCAATTGCAAAGGCAGTTTTACTTACTTACATCCCATGGCAACCTCTAACATCATCAAACAACAACATTTGCCGATCTCAAGTCCTTGAGAAAGGCTTGATAGGTAGACAAAAATGCCAAATCCAGTCTAAACATTTGGCAGACTATGCAACCAAGTATAATAACAATATAGCAACTAAGAATCACAGAAAAGAGCTGGAGAATACTTTATGTTGCATTATTTCCAGCAGAGGTAAGTCAAATTTATGGATGACAAACCCACAACTAATTTAGAATTGAAATTTATTCCAGCCAAGGACTTTATCTACAATACAAACAAGTTAAAAGTTGGAGGTCACTCCCTAGTGAAAATTTCCATCTTGATTGATTGGTTGGTGGTTGGACAGTTGGTTGGTTGAATAGTTGGTTGGTTGGTTGGATGGTTAGTTGGTTGGTTGGTTGATTAAACATATTTCTATACCATCAAAATCAGAACTACCCTGGTAACTTACAGCAAATGCATTATAAACCATACATGATACAAACACAAAAAACACAACAGTGCTACAAAAATACAATTTTAAAAAAGATCAATATACCCAACACCTTTTTTTTTCTTGGTGGATAGGACAAGCATATCTCACCAAGGGAGTGTGTTGCCTTCCCAGTCGAGAAAGGCCCCATTGGAGGCTGATGATAAATTCGCCAGCACATTGAGGATGCCTCGCACACTGTTCTGCACAGTCACAGGAGCCTGGGAGAGAAAGAGAGGCAGAGTTACTATCCTCAGGGAAGGAAGCTTGAGCCCTGGACTCTTGCCCATTCATTCTCCCTCTCTGGCTGAAACCACAGCAACAAAAGAATGGCTGCTACAACCACCGTATAGCATAGCATCGTGTTTTTCAACCTTGGCAACTTTTAGATGCGTGGACTTTAAGTCCTAGAATTCTCCAGCCTAACTCAGAACTGGCCCAGGGTTGAGATGTATACGGATGGTACCTGACCCCAAACTGATAAATGATCTCATATAACATGTAGATGTCACCAGTCACAAAGAAAAACCATCACAAAATGATACCTCCCCCCCCACACACACACCTCCAGCACCTGAAGTTGATTCAAAAGGATATTACGATCCACAGGATGAAAAGCTATTGAAGATCAAAGAGCAATGAGAGGGATTACACTGCCCCATCTCAGCACCAGCATGGGACCACGGCTGTCTCTGTCGTAAACCCTGGCTCTCCCTCTTTCATCCTTTATGGTACCTGCTGTGTTCCCATGTCTGTTTTCACCCAGCCGGGATGGATTAGACTACACAAGATCCCTTCCTCTTTTAGTTCCAAAGCGAAGCAGACCGTCACCATGTTCAAAGCAGCCTGCAAAGAAAATTAAACTCTTAAGATCAGCTCCTCATCCTTTTCTTTCATTGGAAACCTCTCTGCTCTGATGCCCTGACCCAATTGCACAATCCACTGCTATCAAAGCGTTGGCGTGATTGAACGCAAGAAGGGCAGGTTTTATCCCATTCAAATATTCTGGGCTATGACTCCCTAACCCCTGGCTCCATTGGCAGGGTTTATATGAACTGTAATCTCAAAGAACTCGAAGTGCTTAAAAGGTTATAAGGATTATACAGGATTAAAGGCTTAAGGGAGAATAGAATAGAATAGAATAGAATAGAATAGAATAGAATAGAATAG